CAGGGTAGTTTATATCTATTTTAAAGACATTTATTATGAAATTTATACCGATATCTTCATTCAGTAAAGAAATATATCCGTTTACGTGGTTATCGTAAGTGGGCCATTGTATGGTAGCTAAGACCAATTAATGACAGATCCGGAAAAAATTTGGTAGAGTCATATATTTATACACAAAACTTATTTATGTCGAATATTATTCCAATATCTTTTATGTGCTTTTAAGTGGTTTTCGGAAATGGACCTTATATGGGAGCTGTGACCAAATATGGACCGATCCGGAAAAATTTCGCAGGGTGTTTTATATGTACTTTAAACACATTCATGATGAATTTTATACCGATATCTTCATTCAGTAATGAAATATGTGCATTTACATGGTTATCATCAATGGGCCTTATATGGGAGCTATGCCCAATTACGGACCGATCCCAAAAAATATTTTTCAGAGTGATATATGTATACACAAAACTTATTTATGATGAATGTTATTGCAATATCTATATTTTTTATTTAGTTATGTGCATTTAAGTGATTTTGGGAAGTGGACCTTATATGGGAACTATGCCCTATTATGGACCAGAGAGATTTATGTATACTCAAAACATATTTATGTCGAATATTATTCCAATATCTTTATTTCTTAATTAGTTATGTGCATTTAAGTGATTTCGGAAGTGGTCCTTATACGGGAGCTATGACCATTTATGGACCGATACAGATTTACGTTAGTAATATAATTTCCGTTATATACATATGTGCAAAATTTCGTGGTGATACCGATATTTTTGACGAAGTTATCAACGATAAACCCATTTTTGAGAATATGTACCTTTGTATGGGGGCTATGGGTAATTTTGGACCGATTGATTTGAGTTTAAACATAATTGATCCCTGGGCAAAATAAATAACTTGTGATAGAATTCATTGAATAATCATTGGTAGTTTCTGAAAAAACTACTCGAGAATTAGGAAAAAATCAAATTTTTTTTCGAGGTAGTCTGAAATTTTTACTCATAACTTTTTACGTTGTAAACCGATTTTGCTGATTTTCAATACCAAACTGTCTAATAACACATATTTTCGGTGAACTTGGTTGATTTCCTTTGCTTAGTTTTAACGTGAGCATAGACAGATATATGGACATATAGCTAAATCGACACAGAATTTGATAAGGACCCGAAATATATATACTTTGTTGGGTCTCAGATGAATATTTCTTGGTGTTATACACGGAATGACAAACTTATATATATCCCCTATTACCACTGATGATGGTGGAGGGTATAAAAAGAGATTTCCTATAAGCGGGCTTATATGGGGCGGGGGGTTAATATGGGCATATCGGTATACATTTTGGTAGAGGAATTTACGTCTATATTATAGTTACATACATATTTTGCAGAATTTTTTGGAGAGATATAATAACATTTATGAGCTCAAAAATCCTATTCGGGAGTACGGTTGTATGCGGGCTAGTCAAAATAATGGACTGATTTTAATAATTTTCAATAGGCTTCCAATTTCATCAAATTATCATTTCATCAGACGGACGGACATAGATTCTGCGATTCTGAGCCGATTGTTATACTTTAAGGTGGGTGTAGAACAAATATTTTTGGGTGTTACAAACATCAGCACAACCGCCTAATACCATCCCCACTATAGAGGTATAGGGTATAATTAAGAATAATATAAGCATTAGAGTGTCTTTTAGAAGGCATTTTAAAAGAGCTTTGGTCTAATATGGACCGATCCTCGTAATGTTTAGTAGAGTGATTTAGGTTTATATCTTAAAGTAAAATTTTATCATTATACTAGTATTTTTAGATCTATTTATAGTAAAATAAATATATAAATTTTAGAGCCTACCAAAATGGTTCCAGCAATCAATTTTGATGCACCTGCTACCGTACTCAAGTTTTTCGGAGAAAAATAAATGTTTGACAACATTCCGTTTAAGTGAAAGAGAATATTATTAAACAATCTATGGGGTATATAACCTGAATGCTGAAATCGGGAAACTCTTTCTGCACATCTCATAGTGATTTAGAAATGTTTATTTTTGGAAATAATACTGTATTTCGGGACTATTAGAGATATCATAACAAATCGCATACGTAGGCGAAATAGGGGCCAGTGGGTGATCCTTCATAGTAGGTCATCTCGGGCCTCAATTATTAGGAAATGCCAAAACCTATACTCCCTTTAACATATACATATATATAATGTTTTGATAATTTTAAGCAAAATTCGTTTATAAGTCCTGGCCCTGAAAAAGAAAGTTGTCTTTGATGAGACTAATTTTGTTCCATCGGCTCCAAAATTAACCAGTGCTAAATTACCCAGGGGTGATTAAAATTTACCGTTTGTTCACTTTAACAACGTTTCTTAATGACCTTGCCACATCTAACAGAAGTTTCAGAAGTACTCATAATAGGTTCTCATCCGAAATTCACCCAGTTGTTCATGTTTATATCGATATATGATTTGTGTACTTGTATTTAAATCAATAATAAAAACTTTAATCATTTATGGGTTAATTGTGTGCGAAAAGTATTAGATTATAACAAATAAAATAGAATAGACGTGCGAAATAATGTAAATAATGTCACGTTTTAGAACACAAGATAACAAGTGTCATGTGGATTACTTTAGATTTGTAACGAAAAATGTGATACATACGTTAAAAACATGCGTATTTAATTGAACTCTTTTTATAATGCCAAAAGATATATTCATTTATTCCACATTATTTCTTTGAAGAAAACTAAAAAATCCTTTTAGTTTATTTAATTTTAAGAAATGCATAAGATACACGTTTTATTGATTGTGTCATTTGGAAATATGTATCGTATATACATATAAGCAATTTAATGAAATTCGCACCAAGGTTTCATCCAAATCGGAAGACATCGATTTTAAAAGTTGTGTCACTTGACACGAAATTACCCACATATTATAGGCTCACTCTGTAGACCGACAAGCTCTGTAAGCTTGCTTTGTATTATGATGATTCCAAAAATATTTTGAGTCTAGAGATGATCGTTTGTGTGCTAGACCGGTTAATATTAAATATTAAAACAATTTACTTAACTACCTATTTGTAATGAGTTATTTAAGTCCCTATTTGGCGTGGTAAGTACATGATTTCTATTTAAATAAAATAAATTATGGACGTTGAAGATATTTGCTGCCATGGGTCCGATCTTAACCGTATTTTGCAACATTTAGTGAATTGGGCGCTTTGAAATAGTTAGCTCTTTTATACACTTTACCTTAGTGAGTCTGTCTGTCTGTGTGTATGTTGAAATCAGTTTCACTAGACCCCAGATATCAGCAAAAATCCGAAAGAACCCATGAAAATATTAGGTCTTTTCAGAAACTATAGCTGCTATAAAAAAATATCGCAAGTATTTTCTTTTGACCAGTGATTAACATGGTTGAAAACTAAAAGAATCGGTTTAGAATTTCATATAGCTTCTATACAAATATACATATGTACATTACTTCTCAAATGATGCGTTTTAATCTACTAAATACGAGAAGAATAAAATATTATAAAAAATGTTTCTGCAGTCTTTTCGAAATGGGTCTCAAAAATTCCGTAATTTTGTTGGAGAATTTCTGGTTATATAAATTTTAAAATAATCTGAAAAATTCTGAAATGGACCAAATCAAATTCCAAAACTATTTTCTAAATATTTTTCTGTATAATATGACTCTCCAAACCACTAAAATAATTTTGTGGACCAAAAATACTCTACATTAGTTCAAAATTGTGGAATTTTTGAGATCTATGTATTTCAAAAAAAAAAAAAAATATTGGAGATATTTTATTTTTTCCAAATTATACTGAGAACCATTAGAAAATATTTTTTATTTATCAGTTCCTCGGGACACTCTACATTCAACATACTCCCGAAAAATAGATTTATAGATTAGAATATCGGTATTATCATAAAATGTTCAAAATATCAATAAAAATTGTATTACCAACTAGAAATTGGATATGTCTATAATTGACCTATGTTAGGTCCATCTCTGAAAATCAATCAAACGAACATAATTCATTTACAAATAATCATATCCGGACCAAGTTTAACAATAATATAAAAATTATGGAAAATTGTTCCTGTATCGGCCATAATTGGCCATAGCTTCCATATAAAGTCCACTTCCGAAAATCATTTAATCGTAAATAACTCATAATTTAATAATGTTATCGGGACTAAATTGTATTCGATTAAATTATTCTGTGCGAATTTTTCTGGATCGGCCCATAAGTGGTAATAGCTCCCATATAAAGACCTCTTCTGATATCGGAATAAATTTTAACATGAAAATGTTTTGAATAAATTTCAATCATTCTTTGTAATTTTTCGTATCGGTGAATAATTGATAATTGATACATATAAAGTCGACTTTCGAAAATCACTTAATCGTAAATTATTCATGAATTATGGTATCGGAATACAATTCTACACGAATAAGTTTGGTATATATAAGTGACACTTTTTCTGGATCGGTCCATTATTTGTTTATAATTTAGGATTTCAAAATTTATAAAATGCTAATTTTTTTATAAATATTCGACCTGTTTTTAAAATCATAGTTGAATATAGCATTTTTATTATCATAGAATTGTATGTTATAAGGATTTAAAAAACAAAATAAAAAAATTTCAGAAGTCAAGGGGGCAACACTAATAACATGGAACCAACCTACTAACATTTTTAAACAACAGCAATAGTTGCAATACTAAATATAAATATTTAATGTGTATTTAATTTGATTAAACTTATTGTAATTTAACAAGAATGTTAAATTGTTTTATAGTTTATTTGTAACAACTTAATAACATTATAATTATTTTTACTCCTCATTTCAACACTTGCAGAAAATTCTTGCAATATATAATTATTTAGCACCCTAACATTCCTTCAATTCAAAATCAGTGGTCGACAAATCGTGTTTATTTTATTATTGGATTCGGTAAAATGTATTACAATTTACCATTGTTTCATTGTAATGCTAAAATCTGGAAATATATCGGATTTATTGAATACGAAAATGTTTATCGCATCATACCAATAATGATTATTGTACTCCTGACAATAATCTGTCAATTCCTTCATTGTTTCGTAGTTCGACAAGATTTGAGTGTTTTAATTATGAGTCTATTTCTGGTGACGATTTTATTAAATTCATTCATACGAATTGTGATTGTGATGAAAAATCATGAGAAATTTATTAAATTTATGAAAGTTATTGAAACTTGGTATAAAGAAGCTGAGGTAGGTGTGGACTTTGTGGGGGCTATGTTTAATATAATTATGTTTGCAATGACATTTCAGTTAACTAATGATATTGCCGCCTGGTCTATACTAAAAAAACTGCCAAAACGTACGGGAGCTATTTCTAAATTCGGTTTAATTTTTGGCTCTTTTGGAGGCGTGGTCACTGCTATAATCCCTCTTTTACTGAGTCACCGTAGTAAGTTTTGAAATTTTTGTAATTTGCCCGGTCCAAAATTATATTTACTATAATAATTTTTCTAAAATTTCTTAGCCCATCCTTATAGCGTTTATATAATCGGTGTGAATGCATTAGAGAGTCCTTTATATGAAATTATTTATTTCGTTCAATGTTTCATTTTGATTCCATTTGTGGTTTGTACTTATATTCCATTTACGAATCTGTTCATAGCTTGGCTTATATTTGGCATACATATTTTACAAGTTTTGCGCAAAAAATTTGAACTACTGCCCGGTGGCAATGATCCAGATCAGTTGAGAAGTTTGAAAATGTTGATAAAATATCATAAGAGGATTATAAGGTAATATTTATATAAATAAAAAAGTAATGTTTGTTTGTAATCGATAAACTCAGGAACTACGGCACCTGGTAGGACAAAATTTAAAATATGTATATGTTTCAGAGATCGTAGGAAGTGTTCCTGTAAAGTTTACATTTCTCCGACAGATGACGTCGAAGTTTTAATTTTCAGTCAATTACACCAAAACCGCTAAACCGATTATTTTAGAGGATTAGAGGGGTATATAGATCTTTACTTGTAGAGTCCACATGTCCAATCGAGAGCCTGCAACGCGGACCAGGCACTACTAGTTGTGAATAAATACATAAAACCTTTTTGTAAATATTTACCATAACATCGGTTAACAAAATTTGAAAAAAGTCGAATACCAGAAACCAAAGAATACTTTTCTAAAGGATAGGACAGCGCTGAATCCATCACTGTTATATCTTCTTTTTCTTAGAGGTATCTTAGTATTTAATCTTTATTTTAACTCGGCAGATTGAACGTTCAGATAACATAACATACAAATGTAGTTGTCATTGCGCTGTTACAGCGTCTTAAATATGGCCAAAAACGGTGTTTTTTTCAAACTTAATGACACGATATCTGGAAAACCTGGATGGATTCTGCCAGATTTGGATTCAGTGCTGCACATTAATTTAGAAAAGTATACTTTGATATCTGTTAGGCCAGTGTTGTGTAATTAAACTGATCAGTCTAAAATCCCAATAAATGTTTATTTTGGATCAACAAATGGGTCCAAACTGAAAACTGGAGCGGGTTTTTTGTGGCCCAAATTTCCAGAAGACCTTTTTTGATATTTTTTTTAATCGGAAATCTTTACCATCCTCAGATAGTCAGGTGTCATTCAAGTCCCTATTATCATTTGAATTCAGTTCGGAGTTATATACTTCACGTTATATTCTTCGCCATGAAGACAAAGAATGTGACGATACTCATCTGTCGGTACGGAACATTATTACGGTATCTCCTTGGGGTATGCAGAAAAAAATGTAATGTATGGGTTCAGTATAAGATTGTTCGTCATTGGAGAGCCCTAACACAGCTTTAACGAACTGATCCGCTGATCTGATTTAATCAAAACAAGAAATTAAAACTGTTATTTTAATTTTTGTATTTAGATATGGCGAAAATTTGGAAGATTTAGTTTCACACGTATGTTTTGTCGAATTGCTGTTATTTACTGCAATGTTATCCGTTTTACTGATATGCATTCTACTGGTAAGTACTTTGAGTTTCTATTGGGACATTGAATTTACTTTATATATTTACAGGTGGACGATATAATGTTCCAAGTAGCGACCGTAGTTTATATATTCTGCATTCTGTATGTCCTATTTTTATCATACTGGCATACTAATGAATTTTCATCGGAGGTGGGTATTGTGGGTTTATACTGCAGAAGTTATTTTAGGAAATGGTTAAATCGGTGCTTAATAAATCACATACTAATTCAATTATTTTAAATCGGTGGTTCTAAACATATTTGGATTTTATTCCAAAATGATTATGACACCCCAAAGTCTAGTCTGGGTCCTTATGATTTGTCGAAATAGCTCGCTCGTATATGTACTCTTGAACTTGGAGAGGAGGGACGATTTAAGCATTTCCTTATAGTAATAGTTCACGTTTACATTCCCTCATATGTGTATCGGACGTACGGAAATAATTAAAGTATTTCTTATTACAATCTAGAGTGTAAAAATTGCCGATGCTGTTTATAGCATTGATTGGACTTCCTCAAGTGTCGAAGTCCGAAAATGTGTTTTAATATTGTTAGTGCGCTTGTCAAACATCATTAACGGTGAGTTTAGTCCACTCAAGGATTTTTCATTAAGAATGACGCATTTTTTGGGTAACTTTAAACCGCTGATCTATGCCAACAAGCATTCAACGTTAGAAGAGCCTTTTGCCAACATTGAACGCGTAAATTCTGATATTTTGGCTAATTTGTGATCTCAAGTCGTATTCCCTAAATAATGACATTTCATATATACCATTAATCCACAAATCATTTAAATGAACAAACAAAATGCATCGTTCTTAATTAGAAACGCTAACCTGTACATAGATTTTATTCCAAATTAATTTTTCGAAATATTTTACAATTAGATTTCAGCTGGCGGTGTGTATCCCATGACATTGGAGGCATTTCAGGTACTTTTAAATGCTGCATACACCTATTTTAACATGGCGCGAGGTTTTTATGGCCCAATAATTTATATCTTAAAGGTATTCAATTGATCACAACACTATTATGCCATGGAGATGATCACGTATACAAATAATTTTATTAATTTTTTTCTCTCATATCAAAACACAAGTAAAAAGTAGAAGCAATATTCATGCCCCTTGGCAATAGGTTCTATGAATTCCTAGACTTTTTATATTGTTATAAAACTATTGAGTCATTAGACGTTCACAATATCATACAATAGCAAATACACCCGTAATATAAATTTAAATACAATATAATATGTATACATTATAGTAGATTTTTTTTTAACTTACCCGCTCGTCACATGAGTGCCACGGCTAAAAACACGCCCCCATGCAGTAGAACCAATGTGAATTCTATGGTATATTTGACGTAACATGTTTTTAATTTAGTGAAATTTATTTATTTTTTGCAGAAATCTAAAAAAAATATACAAAAATAAGAATACAAAGGCAAAAATACAGATATATAGTATGCACAGATATTTGTTAAATTTTTGTTTAAAAATAAAAAAAAAAATAAAAAAATTTATTTTATTTATATTTCTGGAATTTGTTCTCTAAGATATTTCGTTAGGTAGTCAATGAATTGCTCACATGTCTATATATGTACTGTAAGGTGGGGAAGCCTGGGAATGTTCAGTCAATGATAAATGAAGATGATTTAGCAATTGATAGTGTGAAATTAAGTAATGTGTCTTATATGGACGTCACTATACTACGTTACTATTTCACCTTAATCGTATAAGGAGCCTCTAATCATTTACATTATTATTATTATAATTGAATCATACAGATTATATCGGGAAGATTTTTTGTTACGGCTCTCAATCTGTGGAGCAAAATTGGCCATCAGAATGTGTGACTTCGGTAGGTTATGAGCGTACAACAGTCTAACTAACTAACTAGTTAGTTATTTTGGAAGGAGGATGTACATATATACATCAAATCCGAAGAAATACACCTAGGCCCCAATCGGGCCTGTTGTGCGCTCCATAACGAGTGCCTCAGGTGGGAATCGAACCCACCACCTCCGATCTACCAGACTAGAACACTAGCCACTAACCTACCGGAGGCCACGAACGAACGAAACGAACGAAACGAACGAACGAACGAACGAACGAACGAACGAACGAACAAGAACGAACGAACGAACGAACAAAACGACGAACGAACGAACGAACGAACGAACGAACGAACGAACGAACGAACGAAGAAACGAACGAACGAACGAACGAACGAACGAACGAACGAAAAGAACGAACGAAACGAACGAACGAACGAACGAACGAACAACGAACGAACGAACGACGAACGAACGAACGAAACGAACGAACGAACGAACGAACGAACGAACGAACGAACGAACGAACGAACGAACGAACGAACGAACGAACGAACGAACGAACGAACGAACGAAAACGAACGAACGAACGAACGAACGAACGAAAAACGAACGAACGAAAACGAACGAACGAACGAACGAACGAACGAACGAACGAACGAACGAACGAACGAACGAACGAACGAACGAACGAACGAACGAACGAACGAACGAACGAACGAACGAACGACGAACGAACGAACGAACGAACGAACGAACGAACGAACGAACGAACGAACGAACGAACGAAAGAACGAACGAACGAACGAAAACGAACGAACGAACGAACGAACGAAACGAACGAACGAACGAACGAACGAACGAACGAACGAACGAACGAACGAACGAACTAACGAACGAACGAAAAACTAACGAACGAACTAACGAACGAACGAACGAACGAACGAACGAACTAACGAACTAACTAACTAAAACTAACTAACTAACTAACTAACTAACTAACTAACAACTAACTAACTAACTAACTAACTAACTAACTAACTAATTACAATACTTAATTTTGTGAGGATCGGTTCAATGCAGAAACCACATTACATGATAGGTTCTATTCCGAAATTATGTTTGGTACTTAAATGCCTCTCATAAAAATGTGATATACATATATGTATATGGGCAATTTCATATTAAGTGACCCCAACTCAAAAAACGATTTTGACGAAATTTGCACCAAGGTCGGAAGACAAAGTTGGGTCACTTGTCACGAAATGACCCATATATAAAAGAGTAGCGTTACTGACTGTTTTATTACCGCACAGCCCAAACGACCTGAACCTAGAATCATAAAATTTTATGAAGTAAGGAAGAATTTTGTGGAAAATATATTTAGGGGGAAAGAATAGGTAAAACTAACTAATTAAAATTGTTAAATAAATGTTAAATTTAAGGAGTCAAAAAGAGTAACAAAGGTGATTTTGGTACCTTTTTTGGCCCTTTATATATAACTATTTAACTAATAAACATATTAAGATATTTCGAAATATACTGGATATATCTCTCAAAATTATCAGACACTTGTTTCGTACTTTTTTAAAATTCAGTCCTTTTTGGGTTTGTAGCGGAAGAAGAAAACTATATTTTTGGTACTTTTTTAGCATTTTAGAGTTTAGAGTTTTATTTGTTATATACATATACAGATTTAAGCGTATTTTGAAAACTTAATTCTAGAAAAGTTCCATAAAGAAAGAATTTACTCTAATATATCATCGTTCTAATCGTATTTTTTGAATTTTAACAATATTAATATAGAAACAAAAAGAAGAAGAATCAAATAAAAAGGTGAAAATTTTTTGGTACTTTTAGTTCATAAAATGGTACTTTTGTATTTTCTTTAAATTTGACCTAGAAACATAAATTTAAATTTGGTACTTTTTCGTTCTTCAAATGGTACTATAATATTGAAGATGCAGGGTCCTGACTGAATAAGAATCTGTAAGATGGAGCTCTTTGGTACTTTTTCATTTAAAGAATGAACGTTTTAAAGTTTCTAAGTGGGGAACCGAAAAAAATGACACACGGTTGATATGAAATCAGAATTTATAAGAGGGAGATTTTTGGTACTTTAGTGCTTTACTATAAAAGTAATAAAAATTTTGTAAATAATTTAACTTAGGCAGCGAAGCAACCAGGGTACACTAGGACATTTATAAATCTATGTATTCATATAGAAGTGGAATTTTTGGGTGTGAAAAATGAATTAAAAAAATATATTTTAAAAAACAAATTGTTTGTCTAAACAAAACCACAAACATGACGTTTTTCTGCAACATATAATTTAATTATAACTGATGTGACGTATTATTTATTTGTTTATAAATTAAATAACAAAAACAAATATAAATGAATGCTAAATAGTGAATGACGTTCAAATTAAATCTCATAAAAATTGTAAAATTTATACATTCGAGGTCTGGCTTTTTCTACTACACAATTCCATTAGACGAAAGTCCATGTCTGTATGCGTGCCCAAATAAACAATTCAATTTTGTAGGGGGTAAAAATATTATATTATTTTTATTATTTATTTATAGTCCAAAATGTAAATACAAAATCGAAATACTACTTCTGCCTAATTGTTATTGGTTCACATGAAAATTTTTATTTGGTAATTTTATTGCTAAAATAAATTTGTACTTTTTTGTTCATGTGTTATCAATAAAAATTAGTTTTCATTAAAATAGCTGGAAATAAAAATAAATTTGTGATTAATCATGTGTAAACACAGCCCAAAAAATATAGCTACCGATATTTTCTGGGAAAATTTTATATATAGTGCAAAGTAATTATTATAAATTGGATTAATTTTTATCGCAGTCTATATAATGTATGACAAGAAAATGTTTGTATTTCGTAGAAAATCAAAATAATAGATTTAGATAGAAATGTAGAAAGTTATAGGTTGGATGGAATTTTGTTATTTTCAAAATATATCTGGGGTTTTTTAAGAAAGGAAATATACATCAATTAAAAATCGATAATTACTTAAAAAGCTTATGAATTAGAGGTAAAAGTATCAATCAATAAAAATTTTGATGACAAAATTATTAGGAATACATTTTTAAAGTTATATTTAGCTTTGGGAATCTAAAAATAGAAATAGTACGTACGATAATTTTAATATCGAATGAACTTTTATTGATTAGGGGAATCTAGAATTCTAGATAAAAGCTGTTAGTTTAAGGCGACCAGATTTTGGAAATGTAAATAGATGACATAAGATGGAATGGTTATTATCACACCCTTTGTCAGCTCATTGTCCAAATTCTCGTTCTCCCAGAATGAATGATTGGCAGTATTATCCCGGCGCTCGTATATGGATCGGACTTCAAAAGCTCAGCAGAAATCCCGTCAACACCTGGAGATTTGTTCCTCTTAAGACTGCCAATTGAATCTGCGATTTCAACTATGGTGGGATATGTGGAGACGATATATGGGTCATCCATTTGTGATTAACATACACAGTCAAGCCGTATGGGACGGTTACTACCCGGTGTGGTCCTCCCACACCTCAACCTGTTGCTCTTCTGTTGTCGCAAGTTCACCGGTCGCATCCTTAAGGGCCTTTGTGATACTGCGTGAACACCCATCATTTTCCTCAAGAGTCTGTACATATCGCCGGCACGATGGCTCTCCGCTGTGAAACTGAGCGTGCCTGCTGATTTCGTCTAGCCAACATCTTTTGTTCCGACGAGCACTACGTTTCACTTCTCTGTCGAGGTCATAGTATCGGGTTTGCAGATGTAATTTAGAACTATGAGTACGAGCTCTATTAAGTTCAGATTTAATTCTTCCTTTGTTTGATTGCTTCGATGACTTCACCCTATTCCATTAACTCACCCTCTTGACAAGTACTAGCAGCATTTCCCAAGGCTTCGGAATATGAACTACAGCATCCTTCAGCCTATGTGCAGACAGCCTAAGAAGATAACACGTTTATAAAGCGAACCACTTAATATAAGAACAGACGCCCGCTTGCAGCCGCTCCAGCTAGGAGAACAGGCGCTGCAGTCACCTCTCACAATTCGACGATGCTTGACGGGTTTCAATAACATCGCCCAGGGACGACCACGTTTTGTCGACTTGGAGTATCATTGATAAGGATCACACTGGATTCACCATGTAGACCAATCAGTAGCTTTTCCCTTATTATTACACCCCAGGCCCCCCCCAGAATATAATCTTTTAAAATTTTTCTGAGATTTTGTTTACATTTTTGTAAACGATAAAATTATAAATTTTAGATTTTATTTTAAAGATACATACAGGCCTGTCACAGAATTCCATTCCGATCGAAATTGGAATTATAACTTGTAAATAAATCGATAAAACTGAAAAAAATAATAACTTAAAACTATTGTCAAGTCCACGTTTGAAAATGTGAAGTGGTTTCATTCTGAAAAAGTTGTAATTTTCCTTTTTTGAAGAAGAAAATTATAGAAGGACAATTCCACTTTCGATCGGAATGAATTCTGTGGACTAGTCCTGATAAGTTATTTTTCGCTTTTCAACCTAAAA